CTCGCGGCGGAGCTGTGGATGCCGGCACCGTAGATTGTCGTCGCGGCCGTCACGGCGGCGGTGCTTTCCATGCCGGCTGCGTACAAGGTCGTCGTCCCCGTGATGGCCTGGGCGCTGCTCATACCGGCGACAGTCAGCGTGCCCGACGAAGCAGTGAGCGACCCCGCACTCACGGTCAGGGACGCCGACGATGCTACGCCAGCCGCATACATCGTCGTTGCGGCCGTCACCGCGGCGGAGCTGTAGATGCCGGCACCATAGATCGTCGTTGCTGCCGTCATCGCGGCGGAGCTGTGGATGCCGGCACCGTAGATTGTCGTCGCGGCCGTCACGGCGGCGGTGCTTTCCATGCCGGCTGCGTACAAGGTCGTCGTCCCCGTGATGGCCTGGGCGCTGCTCATACCGGCGACAGTCAGCGTGCCCGACGAAGCAGTGAGCGACCCCGCACTCACGGTCAGGGACGCCGACGATGCTACGCCAGCCGCATACATCGTCGTTGCGGCCGTCACCGCGGCGGAGCTGTAGATGCCGGCACCATAGATCGTCGTTGCTGCCGTCATCGCGGCGGAGCTGTGGATGCCGGCACCGTAGATTGTCGTCGCGGCCGTCACGGCGGCGGTGCTTTCCATGCCGGCTGCGTACAAGGTCGTCGTCCCCGTGATGGCCTGGGCGCTGCTCATACCGGCGACAGTCAGCGTGCCCGACGAAGCAGTGAGCGACCCCGCACTCACGGTCAGGGACGCCGACGATGCTACGCCAGCCGCATACATCGTCGTTGCGGCCGTCACCGCGGCGGAGCTGTGGATGCCGGCACCATAGATCGTCGTTGCTGCCGTCATCGCGGCGGAGCTGTGGATGCCGGCACCGTAGATTGTCGTCGCGGCCGTCACGGCGGCGGTGCTTTCCATGCCGGCTGCGTACAAGGTCGTCGTCCCCGTGATGGCCTGGGCGCTGCTCATACCGGCGACAGTCAGCGTGCCCGACGAAGCAGTGAGCGACCCCGCACTCACGGTCAGGGACGCCGACGATGCTACGCCAGCCGCATACATCGTCGTTGCGGCCGTCACCGCGGCGGAGCTGTAGATGCCGGCACCATAGATCGTCGTTGCTGCCGTCATCGCGGCGGAGCTGTGGATGCCGGCACCGTAGATTGTCGTCGCGGCCGTCACGGCGGCGGTGCTTTCCATGCCGGCTGCGTACAAGGTCGTCGTCCCCGTGATGGCCTGGGCGCTGCTCATACCGGCGACAGTCAGCGTGCCCGACGAAGCAGTGAGCGACCCCGCACTCACGGTCAGGGACGCCGACGATGCTACGCCAGCCGCATACATCGTCGTTGCGGCCGTCACCGCGGCGGAGCTGTAGATGCCGGCACCATAGATCGTCGTTGCTGCCGTCATCGCGGCGGAGCTGTGGATGCCGGCACCGTAGATTGTCGTCGCGGCCGTCACGGCGGCGGTGCTTTCCATGCCGGCTGCGTACAAGGTCGTCGTCCCCGTGATGGCCTGGGCGCTGCTCATACCGGCGACAGTCAGCGTGCCCGACGAAGCAGTGAGCGACCCCGCACTCACGGTCAGGGACGCCGACGATGCTACGCCAGCCGCATACATCGTCGTTGCGGCCGTCACCGCGGCGGAGCTGTGGATGCCGGCACCATAGATCGTCGTTGCTGCCGTCATCGCGGCGGAGCTGTGGATGCCGGCACCGTAGATTGTCGTCGCGGCCGTCACGGCGGCGGTGCTTTCCATGCCGGCTGCGTACAAGGTCGTCGTCCCCGTGATGGCCTGGGCGCTGCTCATACCGGCGACAGTCAGCGTGCCCGACGAAGCAGTGAGCGACCCCGCACTCACGGTCAGGGACGCCGACGATGCTACGCCAGCCGCATACATCGTCGTTGCGGCCGTCACCGCGGCGGAGCTGTGGATGCCGGCACCATAGATCGTCGTTGCTGCCGTCATCGCGGCGGAGCTGTGGATGCCGGCACCGTAGATTGTCGTCGCGGCCGTCACGGCGGCGGTGCTTTCCATGCCGGCTGCGTACAAGGTCGTCGTCCCCGTGATGGCCTGGGCGCTGCTCATACCGGCGACAGTCAGCGTGCCCGACGAAGCAGTGAGCGACCCCGCACTCACGGTCAGGGACGCCGACGATGCTACGCCAGCCGCATACATCGTCGTTGCGGCCGTCACCGCGGCGGAGCTGTGGATGCCGGCACCATAGATCGTCGTTGCTGCCGTCATCGCGGCGGAGCTGTGGATGCCAGCACCGTAGATTGTCGTCGCGGCCGTCACGGCGGCGGTGCTTTCCATGCCGGCTGCGTACAAGGTCGTCGTCCCCGTGATGGCCTGGGCGCTGCTCATACCGGCGACAGTCAGCGTGCCCGACGAAGCAGTGAGCGACCCCGCACTCACGGTCAGGGACGCCGACGATGCTACGCCAGCCGCATACATCGTCGTTGCGGCCGTCACCGCGGCGGAGCTGTGGATGCCGGCACCATAGATCGTCGTTGCTGCCGTCATCGCGGCGGAGCTGTGGATGCCGGCACCGTAGATTGTCGTCGCGGCCGTCACGGCGGCGGTGCTTTCCATGCCGGCTGCGTACAAGGTCGTCGTCCCCGTGATGGCCTGGGCGCTGCTCATACCGGCGACAGTCAGCGTGCCCGACGAAGCAGTGAGCGACCCCGCACTCACGGTCAGGGACGCCGACGATGCTACGCCAGCCGCATACATCGTCGTTGCGGCCGTCACCGCGGCGGAGCTGTGGATGCCGGCACCATAGATCGTCGTTGCTGCCGTCATCGCGGCGGAGCTGTGGATGCCGGCACCGTAGATTGTCGTCGCGGCCGTCACGGCGGCGGTGCTTTCCATGCCGGCTGCGTACAAGGTCGTCGTCCCCGTGATGGCCTGGGCGCTGCTCATACCGGCGACAGTCAGCGTGCCCGACGAAGCAGTGAGCGACCCCGCACTCACGGTCAGGGACGCCGACGATGCTACGCCAGCCGCATACATCGTCGTTGCGGCCGTCACCGCGGCGGAGCTGTGGATGCCGGCACCATAGATCGTCGTTGCTGCCGTCATCGCGGCGGAGCTGTGGATGCCAGCACCGTAGATTGTCGTCGCGGCCGTCACGGCGGCGGTGCTTTCCATGCCGGCTGCGTAC